AGAAAAGGAATGCATCTGGTGATTACATTTATTTTGCAGTCAAGACTTCTTTCAAAATAGATTGTACATTGTTTGTTCATGCCAAGAATGGAAATTCCTTCAACTCTAAAAGCAAAATAAGGACAATTTATAATGTTTAAATTATGTTTTGACTAAGAAGTCAAGCTTCTGAAAGCTTTGACCTGTGAAATTAAGAGCAGGGTAGCTCACTGCCAATGAAGAACAATAAAACAAATTCCTGTAGGAGCATTTTTTGCAACTTCTGCTTAGCTCGACTCTTCAAAGCAGACACAATGTATTCTGCATCACAAGAGCAGTCACAAGAGAGATTATAATGCTAAAAATAGATTCCATTAATACAATATTTTTCACATTTCATAGCTCGACAGTAATAACAGGCAAATTACAGTTGAGGATGTACAATAAAGGAAATGCATCTTTAGAGACAGAACGCACTGTAAAATTTTAGTCTTTCCTTCCCTACTACAACTACCCAGAACACTGCAGTCTGTAATTTGTAGGTTATACAACAGCAGCAAAGAATTTCATTCATTCTGAATTCCTATTGCTTTCACCTCTGCCTTCATTACATTTGTTGATTTCATTACTAGATCTCCTGGAGGACTGCTTGTAAAGTGTTGAATGAAATACAATTTTACAACAAATTGAGGTGCTTCTGTGATCAACAGTGACTAAATAAAAATGGACTTTAATGCATTAAGCACTGTCTTATGATTATTTTAAAAATGAGTATTACGGGGACCGAATCAGCTCAATACTCAAAATCAGAGATGAATGATCGTACATATTTATTTCATCATAATTTCTATTCTTAAAGCAGCAAATATATAACAAGATGGCATACAAAATGTACCAATTGGAAATAGATGGCTGCAATTTTAACAATACTGTATAGAAAATTAAGTTTCCTTCAGTAGAGGTTAATGCATTGAGGAAGAAAAACAGAAATAAGTCAATAAGGCTCTTGAACCTGTTAAATCATTCAATGAGATCATGAATGATCTGTGACCTTATTTCATATTCATCCACATTTACCCCATTATCTTTGGTTAACAGAAATCTGTAAGTTTCAAGCTTTAAATTAATAACTGACCCAGTATCAACTGCCACTTGCAGCAGAATATTCCAAACACCAACCACACTTGACTTGTAAAAGCGCTTCTGAAGTTCACTCCTGAAAGACCTGGCGTTAATTTTTAACCTATGTCTGTAGTTCTAGATTCCTAAACTAGCAAAAATAGTTTATTTTTATCTACCTTACCCAATCCAATGCTCTGTCTAAGCTGTGTGCACATATCTGCTGACTGTCTGCACTGATCTACTCCTTTAATTTCTTGAAAACAATGATCAAATCACCTTTAATCATTCAAATTCTGTGGAATACATCCCCATTCCTTATAATTTAATCTTTGGACAAGGAAGGCATACACTCCATTAGCTTTCATTCCATTTTTTAAAAAAAAAATCTGCTCATGACCTCTAACTCTTACATAGTCTATGTGGATTGATTTCTGGGATAGTTGACTTGCCATTCATTTCACTGTCATGGCAACTGGATGCAGGCAAAAGACCTACAAGAAACATCTCCAATCCAGGACTAACCAAACCATCAATGCAACACTGTGTGAAGCTAAAGAACCAGTTCTGAACTTTTGCAGGACATATCTCAAAACCAAATAACATTTTTATTAAAAAGCTCCTGTACGGAAATCACTGTAGCAAAACAACTCAACCAGTTAAGGACTGCCGAAAAGTGAGATATACCGAAAATAGGAAATGTATTGCAGATCCAACGTTTCTTCTCTTCAGCAAAGAAAGTTGACCTCAACAAAGTTTTTCCCCCGAAGGAAATTTCAGTACCAAGCTAGTGGGAGAATTCATGACTTGTGAAACTACAGCGGAATAGTAGACGTAAATCCTGACTAATGTGGAACAGAAGTCACTTCTTAACCAAAACAAAATAGAGAATAAATCAGGAAAAAGTAGAAAAGATTGCTTTCTGTTATGACCAAGGTGTTACAACTGGTTACATATGATAACATGAATTAGGAGCTGGAACAGATCAACAAGCCCCATGAACCTGCTCCACCATTCAATAAGGCCATGGTTGATCTGAATAATCCATATTCCCATCTGCCCTGATAACCTTTCACCCCTTTATTAAGAATATCTCCCATCAAAATGAAAGCTGATAACTAAACATTACAGCTTGAAAGTCACAAGATAAAATTAAGATTGGCTTTATTCACAGAACAGGACATAGTCACAAGAATCACAAATTCAAACAGATTCAATTTATTAATATTTTAAATGCTTGACACTTCTCCAGGAAGAATTTGGAGACAATGTCTCTTTTGTTGGTCAACAGGAGTCCTTTTCCAACCAAATTATTCAATTTTACATGGTTTCTAACCAAAATCTTGTGCTTGCAAAATGGTTATTCCTGACCTGAATCATCTAGCAACCAGGCAAATGAGATTTTATACATCAGAACCGTAGTGGAGAAAGACTTACTCAATGGTTCAGTGGCTACTGATAATGACATATCTTTGGAATACACAAATAGAGAAAATATCTGTTTTGATCCCACATTTAGTTAGTTCTCCAGCAGAGGAACATCAGAAATAGGAACAGGAGTAGGAGTAGGCTATTCAGCCCCTCTAGCCCATTCTGCCATTCAATAAGATACTGCTGCTCTGATAGTGGTCATAACTCCAGTTTTTCACCTATTCCTATAACCCTTGATCTCCTTGTCAACTGATAATCTGCCCAACTCAGTTTCAAGTGCATTCAATGACCAAGCTACCACTGCTTATAGGGAAGAGAATTGCAGTGACTCTCTGAGAGAAGAAATCCTTCCTTATCTACCTTTAAGCCCAGCAAACACACCCTTAACTTGTGATCCCTAATTAGAAGTGATTAGCTGGATGTGATCAAATTGGATTTTGTTGTGAAGCCACCAGGCTTATACGTCGAGTTGATATTATGTAGGACCGTGTAATAAAATGGTCACTTGGGGAAGGGAATGGGAGTTGAGGTTCTCTGTGAAATTATATTCTCGGGGATAGAGCTTGTGCTCATGCACAGCTATCCTCTTCCACCTGATCATCTTGCAAGAATCACCCTTCCAAAGCTTAATCAGCAAAAGGGCCATTTCAGAACACTTCACCTTTTCTCCAAGACACATTCCTTCCCAATCCCTATTTCCGGTAGTGATAGAGTAGACTTTGTGGTTTGGAAGAAAAATATTCCTCACTGTTTCTCCTGTATCTTCTAATTCAAAATTCTTTGCTCTATTCCATTACCCACACAGACAAGCATATCATCAGCAATCTAGACCATTGCTAATCTGCCTCTATTTCACAATAGCAAAAAATATACAATCACTTGGAGTTGAAAAAGGGAAGACTGACAAAAGATAAACACAAATTTTTATTATTGCTGTTAATCCAATTTTTCCTTCAATTCACCTGAAGGCATGAATTCATTCTGCACTAACATGCTACAGACTTTGTAGTGCCCTAACACATTACCTCCATGACTATTTGTTCAAGAGCTATAACAAAGGATTATCATTATGCTACTCATCATAGAAAGAATCATAATTAAGTCGATTAGACTGCTCCAGAAATACAAATGCACTTTCCAGTGGGAAGATCACTGGATTACATTCAAGAATACGATCAGTATTTAATTATTCTCTCTCCAGCCAACCAGGACATCAGTTCCAATACACCAAATGCAGAGGTCAAACCGTTGAACGGCAAGGAAAAATAAAATCAAATCTTCAGTCTAAAGTACATTCACCCATAGGAAGGTACAACTAACATCTTACTGAATGCAAACAACTTTCAACAATCCCTTTTAATGTAACCAATTTTAGTTTTACAGATATATGCAAAAATAGAGTGCCACTTCATTAAATGCACACTTAAATATAAGTTAAAATTTAAAAACTGGATTTAAACAAGCAGTAATATTGTCACTGCAGTGATTTGTTGATTGTTCTGGCAGATCACAGAGAAGAGGAAATTGCATCGCACTGAATGGCTCATGGGTCAACCTTTTCTATGAAAAGAGAACTTTCATACTGTTATGATCCCAGCTGATGTTACTGCTTGATAATCAGATCCCAGACTGAAAGCTGGTTTATTGGACTTTTTTTGGGTTTAAAAGGTGGTCTTTCACTGAAACACAAACACTCAAAGCTGCAGATTCAGGTTTAACTGTATACAATTGTCAGTTATTGCGCAAAAGAAGAGGAGTAAACAGAATAAACCAAATTATTTACATAGAAAGAAAAATTTAAAGATGTCAAAACACACAGTAAAGTACAATCGAATTAATTCCAAAAGCACTCCTTTGTAATACTCACACAAGAGAGAATTCCCTGGTCTTCCATATCTACAGGGCTTTACTTAACGTTGGCTTCAGAATCTGAAAACCTCTTCCTGGAGTCTTAATACAGCTGAGCATAGATTTTATCAGCTTCAAATAACACTTTCCATGTTATAACCAAACAATTTTGGTTTGGAACTTTAAAGTAAACTCCTTACACTGGAGTAACCTATTTTATAATGATCCAAAACTACCTCCCTTTCTCAGGAATAACTATTTTACATATCCAGCTTCTGTAAACTGGTCAAGCTGAAACTAAAACATTTCTTGCAGTTATGGTTGTTTCCCCTAGTCAAAAGAAATCAATCAATTACTGACCTTCTAAACTGAAAACCTAATGCACAATTCTTTAGCTTGTTCATTCATTTAAAAAAAAACCTCCCAATATAAACAAATTCCCATTAACCCTCCTGAACCATCACTCTCACAACTGCTTTAGGAAAAGAAATCACCATGGCTACAGAAATACTTACAAGCTAATAACTGAATCACTTCAGAAACACAGAATTCAAAACTCCAAAATAAATGATCTTAGAATATACAGAAATCACACACCTTACATCGTAATATCTTATACTCACCAGCAGATAAGTCCAGCTGTCACAACAGTCCACATGACACAGCACGAATGTGGCCTCTTAATTTCCTCATCATCAGTTCGCTTACAGCAGCAGATGCATAATAAGTAAATGGAGATGAAAATTAAATTGAGGGCCAAGCCAACGGCAGCAATTACAGCCAAAAACATGAGTGCCTGGGGAAAAATAAAATAAACACACAATAATTGCTTGAGATTTGCTTTCCACTTATAAGAATTACACCTTATTACAGGAATAAAATGACTAATGCATCTTCATTTATTAGTTAATAAATGTACAGGTTCTGCATTGAGTAATTTTCAGATTATTACTGAGATTTTGCTCCCGTCACTGGTTCAGTTGGGGATATCTACTCAACTTGTGATGGACTATTTGAACCAATGTAGAATCCCAACCGTGTACATGGGTTTAGAGAAGTCTTACATATCCCAATAGTCATCATTATCTGATCTTATGACTGACATTTATAAACAACACTGCTCCCACAAAGTATGGTAATTCATGCGACTCAATGGGATGGTAGTTTTATGAAGTGAGAGGTCTGTCAAAGATTTTAAGAAGAAGAAAGCTGATTTTAAAGGGATTTACTTTAAACATTGTACATTTATGCCAAGTTAGAGCTGAGCTTTCTGTGAACAACAACAATTTTCACTCATTACTATATCCTGTTTCAAAGTCATTAACCTCTTCTCTGTTGCTTATATTTGAATAGTTACTTAAACCCTCAGAACTGCTAAAACAATTGATGTGGAATAGAAAAATGTTCTATTTTAATTGCAGAAAGCAGTAATCAAATATGATTAAACAGTCATAAACGTGTAGGGAAAAATGTCTATGAGGACGAAACATGCAGAAGGATATAAAGATATGTTAGATGAATGGGTAAGAAAGTGACAAATGATGCATAAAGTCATGTTTTTTCAAGAGGATTTGAATTGAAGAGAAAGGAGGTGTGGCTGCAATTATCCAGAGCTTTGGTGAGACCATACCTGAAATACTGTGTTGCATTTTGGTCTCCATATGTATACTTACTTTGGTAGACATTCAGCAAAGGTTTACTAGATTGATTTCTGAGATAAAAAGTATTTTCTTTCCTAAGGAAGCACTGCTTAACTGCAAGAATAATTTCCCCGTTGCAAACATACAAGGCAGGAGTCGAAATTGATCATTCAGACCCTCAATCCTGCTCTGTCCTGCAATAAGGCCATGTTAATCAGTTTATCTTTCAATTTCCAGAATAGTAGCTAACCCAGGATTCCCCTGCCACAACAAGAATCTATCCACCCTGTCTTAAAAATATTTAATGACCTCTTCTCCACCACCTTCTGAGGCAGAGAGTTCAAAAGTTGCACAACCCTGTAACAGAAAAAATACTCATCATTGTCCTGAGGGGATGACTTCTAACGTTAAAACAGTGCCTCCCAAGTCTTGCATTCACCCACAAGTGGAAATATCCTGTCCTTGTCAAGAACAGTCAGGATATAATATGCTTTAGTTAAGTCAGCCCTCGCTGAGTTGGCTGGGTGGCTGGTCGGCGATGCAGTGTGATGCCAACGGCACAGGTTCAACTCCCACATTGGCTAAGGTTGTCATGAGGATTCCGCCTTCTCAACCTCATTCCTTGTCTGAGGTGTGGTCACTCTCACCTTAAACTAGTACCAATGGTCTCTCACTAATGAGAGAGTAGTCCCATGGTCTGCTGAGTCTATAGTGACGTTACCTTTACCTTAAAGGCCAGCCTGTACTCACAAGAGGACAACATTCATTTTGTGGTGACCCATTCAATCCCTTCCTTAGTTAAACACCTTGATCAAATCACACCATAACCCGCGCTTATTTATTTTTTAGGAAAACAACATATACTTACTACCTCATCATATTTCAATACTATAAATATTTAAATCATTGACTTTTTATATACATTGGTGTTGAACAGAGGTAGGGGTGATGGTGAAAAGTCTGAGAAGGTAGAAATGAATTGCCAAAGATTGAACATTATTTAAATAGTGATCTGTATAACAGAATTAGCATTAACTATTTCTATCTGTGTAAAAAAGTCGACTTTGTGAGCTCAAATTTTTAGGCAAGAATTTGGGGGGAGTCAACTTAGACCTGAGTAATATTTTTGAGGGATTGAAATCTATGCATATTCTTTGGTATCATGACGTATTTTGATATTTTCACTTCACTATTGCTTTGCGCTGGGGTTGACAGAATGTGCATGACCCGACTGGCGCCACTTTGGAACAGCTTGCTTTGCTCCCAAAACTCTCTCTCCCCCAATCACAGCTGCTTTCACTCAATGTGTCTTCCTCCAAAGTCCTCTCCTGTACTCTCACTCAAAGCAAGAGTTCAGGAGAAAATGGCAAGTGGGAAGATCGAAGAAGGGGAGAGAGCTGGTCTCCATTAACTGGAGAGTTAATGACCAGGAGAGTTGGTCTGTGGATGAGGCAGCAGGAGAGACAGGTCAGCCTGCAGGACAGGCAGTGAATATTGGAAGTCCAGTGAATCTGCCTGAGGAACAGGCAACAATTGGGAAGGCTGGCAAGAGAAAGAGAAAAGAGTCTGCCTGTGGAAGAGGCAGCAAGTGGGTAGTAAATAGGAAGAGTTCAGATTTTTGGCCAAAAGTTGGAAGTCAACTTTTACGTGAGATTGACTACTACTTCAGTATAAATGGTAGACACTGACTAAAAAAAACTATAAGCCTCTTTTAATGAAACTCAGCTTCTTCTCTGCCTTTTTCATATTTTTATAGCTGGACCCTAAATCACCATTAAGCCACATGCTGTTTTGCAGCTTATCATTTTATCATATGCTTATTTGTCGTTAGAATGTCTAAAACAATGGGTGAGGCGCCTATAAAAGAGTATAAATATACCACAAGGCACTCTTCCCATGGTCTCATTATATGGGCAGATAGACAAAGTGGATAATTCAGTGGTTTTAGTCCATTAAGGCCTAAAAATCGTTCTGTACAATTTAATGATTACATTTTTTTTGCAAAGAAGCATTGTTATTTTGTTGTAACTATATCCCTGCAGTTGTTTACTTTGCTGTTAACTGCAGTAAGCATCTTAACATTGTTGTTTCCACAATTTTGTACAGAATTGCTGACTGCTATTGCAAAGTAACATGCAGCAAGTAAGCTGATGGTAGAAATTCCTAAAGAAATGAACTACATGATTTCATAAAATACAAAAAGAACTAGAGGCATTTACATCATTTACAGAACTTGAAAATTCTACCTTGACATAGAGATTATAACCTTTCACCACTTCCTGCTTCACAAGAGAAGCTGTCTCCGTGATACAACATCCCTCAAGTATGACCCAGAAGCAGGGCAACTTTTATCTGTGGCTTGGATTCTTACCATAAGCTTTTATGTTATTTAATTCTTTCAAACCACTGATTTCTATCAGACCAACAATCGTACAGTTCACAGATACATCACAAACATGATACATACCCTGTGCACCATGGGAAACTTATTTATCATTTTGCCTGGGAGGAAAAGAAAATTTAGCTAGATGGTGAACAGTTGGTTCCAATCACCAATAATGTAAAACAGCCAATGGATCTAATCCATCAGTCCCTCAGTGCTGTAGAGGATTTTCCTTGAAGATTGCATATCCCTAAAACAATTAGCTCACATACAAGACCTGAACCATTTACAAAGACTTAAAATATTCTGGAAACTTCCAGCTGACTGGCAACTGTTATACCTCACAGCCCTAAGCTCTTGGCTCCCTATGGAGAACAAATTATTCGCAATTTATGTACAATACTTCCTGCTGATTCTACACTCATTTTTTAAAAAATCTCTATTCTATAAAACTGGCAGCATACCCATTTCAAAATAATCACTTTGGACCATCTGATTCTTCAGACAGTAGTTTCAGGAAAATAATGACAGAGGCAGAAACAATTGTGTCTTTGCCAAAGGTGCTTAATCCATGATTAACAAGCAGCAATTCTCTCTCTCTCTCTTTTTGAATCGCTCACTGGCACACCCTATACACAACGCTATATCATGACCTCTGATTAAAAAAAGTGGATCTTTGAGGTCTCAAAGGTAGATTTTACAGAGAAACACAAGTGTATTATCCAGAAACCACCCTATAAGCCAAGTGATAATTAGAGATTCTAGATGATATTCCAATTCTTGTCGCGACAGTTAACTTTTAAGAAGGTATTTGACTTGCCAATGACTGATTGGTAGGATTACAAAACAAAATGTTCCGTTTTAAGACTTCTGTTGGATCAAACAAATTAAATAGAATATTGGCTAAAGACTACACTCTGAAGTACAAAACTATACTTTGATATTTTGTCCCAGATTTCTTCTGTCTGTCAGGTTTTGCTTCCGTGGATGTGTCAAGGTATCAGTTGGTGGCTTGAGACCAGGGCTGTGTTTCAAGTAGCCTGATGAGAGGGCTGGTCAGTGAACAAGCTGACCACAAGCATCCCTGCCTGCTTTGTAATTATGGGCAGCACACTATACCTACTTCCCTCCTCATGGTAAAGTATTCCTTATTTTATCATCTAGAGTTGCTCACCCTGGCCCATACCCATGGCATCTTGAATTTTATGCATCTTATATCCACGTAGAAATGCTATTTAGCTGTCATTTAAGACCCTAATTCCATTCTATCTTGGAACTAAATTGACAGCTTTTAATTGTTTATAAAATCTGACAATCTTAACAACTCCCTTTGAGACTTGGAGATGAAGTACTGATCATCAGTACGGCTGCTCTGGTCATTGTTTACAGATGTCATCATCTAGCACCTTCTTCCCAGTAAATTGTCCTGTTCCCATAACAACCAAGTCCCCCAGGCTTGTTGACAAACAGGATTTAGAGGAGCACACATAACCCTCTTTACTACTCCAGAAATATAAAATTTACAAACTTCACATTTGTAACAATAAACGGTCATTTCCTATCAGTGCAAGTTCAAGTGCTCCTCTATTAAACAAAGCATAGAAGATCATTTATTGCAAAATATTCACACAACATGAGTTTAATTTGTAGAAATATTTACATTATTTTAGAATTTAATTTCTTTAGTCTTAACCTTTTTAAGTTCAACATTTAAAGTGACAACAGGACAAGGTTCGACAGCAGTTATGAAGATGTACTTATTGCCTAAAGAAG